TTTTATATTTGACTCGCACGAACATGATGTTAGTGTATTTCCTCATACCTGTCTAAAATTCAGGTAACAGTCTTCCATTATATTGATAAATAATGTATCACCATATAACGTGTATAACAAACAAAAAATCCTGAATTTTGTCTTTTTGAAATTCATCCCAATTTGTTTTTTCATTCCAGTGTGTGTTATACTTTCAGTATTTATTTAGGAATTGAAATCGTTAATCCCAGGTATTAAAAGATACCTTTTTTCTAATTTGACATGAAAAAAAATGCATGTAATATAACTATATTAGTCCCTTTTGTTACTATCAATTATAATATTGAATGAAAAAACAAACTTTGCTCATTTTGACTATTGTTTTGTATGTTTCAAAGAAAATACATTAAATATTCTAATCTCTAGCAATCCTACCAAAGTTCATGATGAACATGTCTTTTCTCCTCCCATTTATCTATGATATACGCTTCTGGTAAAATCCAATTAACCACTGAACACTTTATATGAATATCTAGTCATCAGATGTCTACTAGTTCATCGTCATTTGCTGCATTTCTTGCTTGGACGCCCTTTGATGCTTTGTATCAATGCTTTTCTTGTTATATCATGATATACCATTTGACGCGAAACATGCAAAAGTAAAGTCCATGAAAATTTTTGTTTCGGCTTATTTACATACGAATTTTTATGTTTCTTACCATGATTGGTTGTTAATATTTGTAGAAAATGAGTAGGATTATAGGAGAAAAAGAAAATGTACATGATATTTTATCATCTTATATTACTGACTACAGAAGTGACACTTAACGTTTTTATTTCTTATTTACAAAGGAACTTCCTCGATCACACCATTATGTTTAAAAAGATAACGCTTTTATGACATGACTGGTGACAAACCAAGTGTCTATACACACATAGCTGAATTCTAAATGCTAGGATATATTGAAATCATATACATGTATCATGTAAACACATAAAGCACATTTTAAGAAGTGACATGACAACTGTTAGAATTTCACTTGGCGGGGATTCATTTAATTTACACTGTCTCCGAGGTTTGGTGCACCATTAACCGGTTTAAACTCCCCAGCAGTCATTATTATGCTGCTGACCGTTCCAAGGCGGCGCCCCTCTGTGTCCTCAGATGTATGTCTATGTTGTTTCATACTGTTTTTGGTGACACTTTTGCTTGTGTCCCTTTTTGTTTTCTCGTCTACGGTAAGTATCTTCCCCATTATCGCTAGTTTTTATTTCTTTTGATTACCCCCCCCCCCTTCTTCCGGTCGCCTGTCCCCTTCCCCTTTGACTGTGTGGGCCAATAGTCAATCATTTACTTGTTTTCTTTGAATTCCTAATTAGTTACAAATTATTTATCATTTAGTGATGAACCTGTCCGTGCTTTGTCTTTGCCCTGTCCTGTTTTTGTTTGGGGTCCGCCTGGGCTCCTTGCCACTGGTTCTTGTTGCTGGGTCATATGGGGGTTGCGTTCATTGAACGCCGCCTTTCCTTGTTGATCTTGTTTATCATATTTTATGAAATATCGAGTAAAATGCGAGATAGATATAGGAAGAAAGTCTATCACGTGATAACAGCTTGCGTGACAAAGATAATTATATAAAATTGACATATGTTACCTGTGATATCATGGGAGTATTGATTTAACTAAATGGTGACAACAAAATTAGTCTGTAAGAAATGTTAACGCGTCTTAGAAGTTATGATGAGGCAAGATTTGGAAAGGTGCGTTACGAAAAAATTTCATCGCTTTAAAAAGAAAAAAAAGTAATTCCGGAACATAAAACAGTGGAAGAGGTGTAAGCTAATGTGGATAGGAAAATCGGTAATTATCTTTATTCGAGACAATATAAGTATTCATTGCAGTTTAAGAGTTATAGTTGTATGGTTACACAGGGTATTTGAAAGACCCTGGGTTAAATAAGATCTGTCAAATTTTAGCGTTTACTGTGCTTGACGTGTATTGTAATATAGAAGCGGAAAGATAAATCACTCGAGAACTTCGCATTGTACTATACTGGTCGTATTGACCACCTACCCAACGAATTAACTGTTTTAGTCTTAGACAATTTGTTCTGACTAAGAATAGCCATTATTGTAACTACTATAAAATAAGCTGTTTTTAGTGAATAAGGAAAGCTATCTTAATGTTATCTTAATTGGCAGTAAAGCTTCTGGTTGTTGCTATCCGTAGATATGGACATGGTTATAATCAAATTATTAGTTTATTTTACAGGCGGTGAGCAGTTCAAAGTTTAGCTTCCGAAAAGATTGTTATTATATTTTGTATTGGTGTGTATTAAACGATATTGAAACAATGTGACATCCTATTTTAGAGTTGTTGTTCATTCTGTCCTAAACTAAAGGTCTCGTAACTCTTATTAGGTAATAAATGATTTATTTTCGTTTAGCAAAACGAATTAGAAAATAAGTCATATTCTCACACACCAACTAACGATGATAACGGAAAAACAACAAAACAATTGCATTTGTTTTATTCAATGCCTGCCTTATTATGAAGGTTCAAACAGTATTTCAATTCCGAAGTCCGTCTAAAATCGGTTTGATTTCCTGTAACTTTACAGGGAAAACTTGATATAAGTAGAATTTTCATTGGTCATTTTAAAGTTACAAACTAAAATCTGTTTAACGTATTGGCCTTTCTAAAATAAGTAAAATAGTATAAAGGATCTTTTTGGAATGGTTTATACGTCTAATTTTTAATTTATCTAAAGGAGTTCCGGAAACAGATTTTCTTCTTATGTTTCTTAAATTTTTAAGTTTCTTCACCTTCTAGTTAAATGTTTCAGATATTTAAGTTCTGTTTAACCAATGTTTCCCTCCCACTAATTATTTACATTGCATTCAAAATATCGTTCTTGATTTAAATGAACCTTTCCAGTGTTAACAGATTTATGTAAATTGGCTCACTTGTTATCCAATTGCTACACCGAGATAGTACATAGTCACTGGTTGACCTGGTTTACACATAAGAACACATGGTTTTGTTTGTGATACTGTTTGTGAGCAGTTGACATAGCAATGAATGGAAAAGGTGTGGCTTAATGTTCCCTTTACGAAAAACCGGAAAGGTCCATAACGAGACCACCAATAACGTTGACGATCCCGTGAACGCATGCACATAACACAAACGGTACTCTCAGTTATTTATGTCAAATAAGTGATTGATGTGTCTAATTGATGTAAAGTTTTCATATCTTTTTGTATATCAATTAATAAATACAATGTATTAATATAGCCGCCAAAGATTAAGTGGTCCGTCAATTGTAATTGTTTTTCGAAAGTATCTTTAGATTCCACACTTTTTTCCGGGTTTTAAGCGTCTTTCGGTATTCCGTTGGTGTTGCAAATCCATGGCTACAGTACCGACAAAACGTTTTCATTTATAAACTTCACATTAAAATTTGATTAAACTTCAAATGCATAAGTTATTCTCTTTGAATCACAATTGACTTTCAGAATCATATATAGTGCTTAATAAATTCTGTTTCAATCTAAACAGTCATTCATAATCTAAAAACGATAAAAACGAGGTATTAAATTGAAGCAAACATTTTGAGTACGAATAAAGTTATTAGAAACTCAGAGTATGTTTTGCACTTGGTGATCTTTACTAGTCTATGTTATAATGGAATTGTATTGAATTTTGGGTAAACCTTATTTTGGATACTTCAATACGGGTTAAAATAAATAAATAATACTTGTTTTATAATTATCATTCGTAACAATTATATATATTTCTTTCGAAACTAAAACATAACGGTTTATAAAAAAACATACCCAAAACAGATGACCTTTGAGATACATGTACCTTTGAGAAACTAATTCGACTTGAAACTGTTGTTAAAGAATAATTGACAAAAGTGATACAGAAACTTCTGAATCAAAACAGCCACATCAAGATTCCGAGGGGTCGGAATATCAAAAAGCTAGATTCTGGGGTACTTTTGTTCTAGGTAGGAATATCACTTCTACGCCGAAGACAGGAGATATTGCCAACACTTCAAATTGCACAATACAGCAGTTCTTAGTACAATTCGTTGGACCAACCCTACAGCGATTCCTTAGTAACTGTTTGCAATCAAAAATATGAATTTACACAAGTAATAAGGTCCCTACTGACATTATTAAATAATTGACCTTTTCGAAAACCAAGCTAAAAACCGTTTTCCGGTACGTTACAGATTTAGCTCTGGGGAATTACACCAAATGAAGTACATTACGCAATTACATGATATATCTATTTTTCTATAATTATTTACAATTTAATGTGAAAAAATGATGTGTTTGAAAATTATCACTATTCCTTAAATATCTATTGCAAATTTTTCAAAAAAAAAAAATATATATATATTATGAAAATCAATAAAATTAAGACAGTCGTAGTGGCATCTTCCATAATAAATAAAGATATTTCTTTTAAACTTGTGTATTTACTTTATCTTTTTTGTATGGAATTATTCATACAATGATATTTTATTATTTTGTTACAAAGAAATAACTGTTTTATTTCATTTTAATTCAAAAAAGGCCAAAAAAATAGAGTTTGTTATTACACTCCATTAGATGAATTCCCCAGAGCTATGTACAGAAAGTACCGGAAAACGTCATTTAGCTAGGTTTTCGAATTCGTGAATTAAACAAGCACTGCTAACATTTCTTCATAAATAAAAACAACCCGAAATAATCTTTGCAAATAAAAGAAGATCTACATTGCCCGAGAATCTTTTTGTTAAGATACTCCGTATATATTATTGTAGTAACAATCGAGGTTTTTTGTTATTTTTGCAATACTCCGCCATTACACCATTTTTTTCGTATAAAAATAACAGCATGATAACTTTTGTAAAACGATACTTACGCACCAAGAGATCGCTGATGCCGATTTTAAAAAAGCAATGATAATTTGTTGTAACATCCAATAATAATTTTCGCTTCTCGGTGACACGAAATGTCAATATTGGTGACAGGCACTGTAGAATTGATGCTACTGAATACCAATATATTGCAGATTGTCAGTTAATTTTCACATATTATGTAGAAATATTGGAGGATTCTTTTCGCCGATGCTTGTGCTTTGTCTGGGAATATAAAAGCAACAGTGTACAATTGTGTTTGATTAAATGAAGATTTCCTGATTTTTTTATACACAGGTATGCTATAAATATTTACTATTCTTATTTGTATTTTTATTCATTTCTTTACGTAAATATGTTTTACTATTGTTATTTTAACGTTTTTATTTAGATCTCGAATTGTTCATGAATTGAATGTATAGTAATTTAATGTATTTTGTACCTAATTGACTTTTTAATTGATGTAATAGTATGTGTTATTGCAAGATTTTCTCATCTTTCATTGTGATGGTAAAAAGAGCAAAAAAGTACTTTATCTTGATACATTGTATACAATTTTTTTTCAAAACTAGTTTTTATATAAAACACGACCTTCTATTTTACGCTCGCTATCATGTTTTAATTTGATATATATAGTTTATATTAAGTTAATGTATTGAAATATTTGTATATTTACATAGTTGTTATAAACTATAAATAAAAAACATTAAATATATATTTCCCGGGATTGGGGTTTGGGGTTACTTATATTAATTGCACGGCTGATTTCATACAGATTTCATACATGTCGAGAAAGTTAAGCATAACTTTTCAAAATAACAAAGCTTTTTAAGTTAATATTGTAACTTTAAGCGTTTTTGTGAAGTTTACTTACTAATAATTTTGCTATTTCACTCTATACTGGTATTTTTCTATTCATTTGAGATATGATGGTATATAAACCGTGTTAATTATAACTCGTAAATAATAAACGTATTAAACCGCAAGAATTATGCTCTTTCATGTTTTATTTCTAAAATTACAAAGCGAATATGAGTGGTAGCTTTTTTGCTTCAACTTGTAGTGTCAAGTTAAATTCTACAAAGGATCTTAAAGGTTGAATCAAATGACACCTTAATTTCTGTTTCAAGTTACCCCGCTCCACTTTTTTGTCTTTAATATGTTCAAGTTTAATTGTATTAAATGTACCTTTCAGTTGAATTGTATTACTTTACATACATTCTGCGGCAGTATTTCCATTTAACAAAGTTTATATGGATGACTTCAGACATTTGAAGTTAAGTTTGTTTAATGAAAGTTAAAATGATTTTGGGTTTGATTATAATGTTAGAAAAATGTACCTTCATTATTTTAAATCAAAAAATACATTTTATACTACTAATGAGATTGAATTATGTCACTTCACCAGATTAAAATCAAAATTACAAAGCCAATGCTGTTAAATTATGTTACTTCGCAATTTTACTTTCAAAGTTACACATGTAATGATATTAAAATTATGTTAATTTACCATTTTAAAATCAAGATTACAACACTTATGCTGTTAAGTTATGTTACATCGCGATTTTACTAACAAAGTTACATAATATAAAGTTACACATTTAATGATATTAAAATCATTTTAAAATAAACAACTACAAAGCTTATGCAGTATTTACGTAAATTATGTACGTTCGCTGTTTTAATTTTAAAGTTACACATCCAATGATACAAATTTATTTTATTTAATGTTTTGTTGTTTTTTGTAGTTTTTTTATCAAAATTATAAAGCTTATGATATCGAATAATGTTACACGGTCTTTATCTATGACTTAATTATACTACATAGAAAGAACACCAAAGCACATTGAATATAACAATAGGCAAAAAATGAGCCTAGTATTTCAATTTGATGTAATTGTCGCTATTATTCTAGGGAAAACTACTTTTTCCCCATGTAATCACATCAATGAATAGGGAAGCAAATGAGTAGCGCGGAGAAGATATAAATGGTACGTGCTTAGCCGGTGTTCAGGAACAATAAAATGCATTAGCTTCAACTACAGTAATCTTTTGTACTATTTTTTACCACCGTGTTTAATGTCGGGACAACACTTGACTACCGTTACACATAACAAATCATCCTCATCATCACCATCACCACCATCATCAACAACAACAAAAACAACAACAACATTTAATTAGCATTATATGCACATAAGGTATATTGATATATCTTTTATAATATGGTATATAGCATATACAGAAATGGGGATATTTAAGCTTTAAAAAAGTTGTTTTCCTTAAACAGATAAATGTGGCCAACGCTTATTTGCATTGGTGGAAAGTTTGCGTGATTGTAAATATTTTTTGTTTTGGTTACTTGGCGAGATTGAAAATATAAAACAATAAATCTTAATACGACTTAAATAAGAAAAAAATAGTACGGTTTATTAACCCTGTTCATGGATAACAGCGGTAAATAAAACTACCGTCACTCCCTAAGTAACGAACTCCAAAACTAACTAACTAACTAACTAACTAACTAACTAACTAACTAACTAACTAACTAACTAACTAACTTACTAACAAACTTAATAACTAACTCCCTAACTAACTAACTCCCTAAATCCCTAATTAACTAACTAACTAACTCCCTAGCTCCCTAACTAACTAACTAACTAACTAACTAACTAACTAACAACTAACTAACTTACTTACTCACTCACTCACTCACTCACTCACTCACTCACTCACTCACGAACTTACTAACTAACTAACTTACTCACGAACGAACGAACGAACGAACTAACTAACTAACTAACTAACTAACTTACTTACTACTCACGAACGAACGAACGAACGAACTAACTTACTTACTAACTAACTAACTACCTTTTTAATGTTTGGCGTCACTCGGGTGATCTCGCCCTTTATATTACCTTATACTGTTGTACCGTCGTATTTTGCTAGACCATTACCTGGAACAAACTGCACGGTTTAAAAAGATACAGTTTTCGATGTATTTCTAATTTTTTTTTCAATTAAATTTTAATGCTGAAAAGCATGTTAATATTGGTCTTTCATTACGTTATGCAAATTGGAAAAACATATACATGTATAGTTTGTTAACATTTGATGACTATATGTCATGTATTTTGTGGACCAATGTTCGTGAAGTAATAAAGAATAAAATATCGTATCATTTTATTTGCAGCGCAAATATTTAAGCCCATGGGAATCATGAAACAATTTCACCTAGATTACAAAAGTTTTACATGAAGAACACAAAGAAACGTATCTTATAATTCAAGTTATGACAATAAAAAGAAGATTAATTATATATAGATCTAGGCAATGTTATGTTTTCTAAGTAAGTTTATTACAAGTGCTATCTTTGTAAGCGATAACAGAGAATCGTAAGGATTTGTCATTAACATAGGCACGCAAGGCGACACGCAAGCTTAATAACTTTTGACCTCTCAAAATTCTATTTTTAACCATTAGTCTACCGGCGGCAACGGATTCTACACATGTGATCAGTGCAGACTGTGATCAGCAGGCACATCCTTAATCTTATTTGTCAATTTCATAGTCCGAACAAAGCCATTTATCATTTAAAAGACAATTTCAAAATATGTACTGACTAAATAGAGAACAATTAAGGCATTCGGCGATGTTAGGGTTAGTTTCGCCCATTTTTATCATTAGCATAGGTCACAAATATTCGTTTACTCAGGTGTCATACGTCTTTTTACTTGAAATAGAACGATATTGTCAAATGAAAATCTCAAGATCACTTCCATATGATTGTATTTGCGGATGCTATGTAGTTTTTAATTATTTCCATGTTTAAATGCAGAGTTCAATTCAAGTAGGTGCTGGGGGGATATCGTGGCGAAGGCGGTAAATTGTATTTACCTTTGTCATCTATGAACAGACTAAACAGGTTCAGTCAAACCGAATCGCGCCTGCAACATTTTTTAATATTTAAACTATCCATTCGAAGTAGGTAAAATGTCATTTTGCCCTAATCAAGGGTGGTATGACCGATGAATCATAAAGACACAGCTGTGTTACAAAATTTGGCATCTACTATTTTTGTTAAGTCATTGCAGCTTTGATGAAATACCAAATTCGATATAACAAATAAGAATCCATCTAACTCCATGAAGCAAATTGCAATTAAAAAAGGGAACAAAGAGTTCAGTGAAGCAACTGACATAACAACAGTCGTTCAGTTAAACAATATTTTCACAACATCACACCATCACCCGTACATCAATAATTAACTGTAATAAATTGGCTCGACGCAGGTTATGGGAGACTAACGGCAACTTTGTTTAACTTGCAAATCACATCAATTTTGCATGTTAATTATATTGCAAATGGGTTTTATCTTTACTTTTCATCAAAGAGCGAGGAGAATTGCAAAATGCAGTTTCAAAATACACGTTAAAACTTGAAAAATGATTGAAGAAAGTTGTTAAGAAAAGTGAAGGTTTTAAGTTAGCTGCAAAGTTTTAAGGACCATTATGCCAAAGAAATGTTTTTCATTTTTATTTCCAAAAATCGTTTAATTTTTTGTTAATTAGTTACAGTTTCCAAACAATAAAATCTCATTTGCCACATAGATGAACTAACTATATCTTCTTTTGCTCTCTTTGCAATTTGTTCTATAAAGTGAGTTAATATTTTGTTTACATTTTGATACCTTGACGACGTATTACTGCATGCTCAGCCGACATTCATATGTTGTTTAATTTCGAACATGCTCTATAGATACATTACTAAAATATTATTAAACACAAGTTTGTGATTTTCAAAGCATTAAAAGATGTGGATTTCTGAGGCATAATGTGCCTTTAAGATAACACTCTTCATTTATCCAGACTTATTATTCTAATTATAAAAAAAAAAACATTAGTATCTATAAATAACCTAAAAATTATATGTATTTGCACATTTTTTATTTCAATATGTATTTGATCGATCTACCTGATGTTTTCCTGACCGAATTGACTCTCATCTTGACCCGACAATGACCCTGCAACAATGACCACCTTGTCAATTCACGTCAGATTTCTAATTATTTCTGAGCACCATTTCTGGTTATACCCAGTGCAAAACTAATCCTATTAAAGGCGTGCATGTTTTGTTCTGCCCTTAAGTTGCAAAAACTCATCTTTCCTAATGCAGTCTTAAAGATTGTTTTCCGATATCACGGATAAAGGCTTATTTGATCAAAAGATTCTTATCTATAAAATTATACTTTCTTTCAAAGTACATTTTTTTGCAGCGTTAAGAAGAAGACAAATAACAAGATAGTGTATTTATTGATTTGATTTTAGATTTAGATAGTTATTTAAAGAAAACAAGATATCTGTAGAAGGACTGCATCTTAGCGTGTACTTTGCTATATATTTTCTTTAACAAATCTCTCATTAGGTTAAGCATTAAAGGGACCATACTGATATGTAAGGGACTGGTATATAAAATATTGTGATTTTTGTAGTATATGATGATGATTGTATAGATGAATATTTTCTGAGCATGTTCTATATTATTTGCTACGCCCACCCTGCCTTTTATTTTTGTTGGTTTTTCAGTATAACCATTGCTATCACGTAAAAAGCGTATAAAACGTTTTACATAATTAGGACTAACAATACACACAAAACTATTTTCATTAAGTCTTTTAATATATTTGTTTGATATTATTATATTATTGGCACAATTTCCTGTTTTTAGTGCAACAGTTTGTCTTGACTACATAAGGTTCAAAATTGTAGTATTTCAGGATGTTAAACCGTTTGATCTAGGTCTTATCTGATGTGTAAAAGCGTTGTTAGCAATGTTAAATAACTTTGAATGTATTTTCATTAAAAAATTCTTAAAAATATAGGTATATGTGTGTGAGTTTAAATAGCATGTATATTCCTTGTGAAGTCTTATGTTTCTCTTCTTCCAAGTTTTTTTTAATTGATTCATCTATCTTTCAGACCTTCAAGAAAAATGCAATTTCTAAGTGAAGTCTTATGTTTTACTTCTTGTTTTTCGGATCTTTTATTTTGTTTATTTAAAAAAATATATATATTAGTATAAAACACTTTGCAAAGGGTTTAAATAATCTTGCAAGATGCATGAGTAACTTTTACCGCCATAATAATAATAATAATAATAATAATAATAATAATTACGAATTTACGATGATGATGATAATAATAATAATATGATAATAATAATAATAAATAAAACTAAAAATAATAACAATAATAATAATAATAATAATAATAATAATAATAATAATAAAAAAAAAATTATATATGGATGTTTTTGGCAAGTATAAGATACATGATCCGATAGTACATATATCTATATAGCAGATGATAAATGCTCTAGAATAATACATGTCATTATTCATCATATAAATGTCATACTTTATCACTTAGAACTTTATCCTCATTTATGTTTTCAAATAATATTTTATTATTAAATTTTATTGTTTTTTTTATCAATATTTGAAACACATATAGAAAATATTTCCGTTGTAGACCAATCCCCTTTAAGGCATACGTTGACAATACTTTCTGCTGCAAAACTGATATTTGTTTTTAGTCGGTAGCCTTAAATAGAGTGTCATAAAATCATCTGAGAGAGTTTCCAATTAGTAAATTACAATTTTATGGCATTAAAGGCCGTGACGAAGTTTGTCAATTTTGTGTAATTACTTATGAATTATTAATAATGTTTTCGGTGATGACGGGCGATTAATGACATGGTAACAAGCAAAACTTTTTTTTAACATAATGAAATTTTAATAAGAAGAGTAAAACTCGTTATAAAACCGAGGCAAACGATAGCACATTTTATTAATCACTGCCTTGAGATGCCAATAAAATGCTGGTTATTAATCAATTTTATTGCATTTTTGTTAACTCACAATCATTGCGTTAATTTAGGGAAGATTTTGTTAATTACTGTGTTCATTACCTCATTTTCTATCGTTTTGCGTGACGAAAGAAATGCAGCTGACCTTTTTGTATCTTTATCTATTCAGCATCTTGGCAAATATTTTGCCTGAAGTCATTTTACATAACATCAAAATAGATTAAAAGAGGCAGAACAATGTTAATTAGTTACAACTAGAAGTACAGAGATACAAAATAGACTATATATTGTCATTTGATTTAAAGCAGAAAACATTTGAAATGTTTCTTTCCATTTGCCACGCACCGCCTTGGGTTCGAATCCCGACAAGGATTATGGATACTCTCATGTGAGGAAGCTATCCAGCTAGCTAACAGTCATTCAGTCAGTCAGTCAGTCAGTCAGTCAAACAAACAAATGATCATAAGAATGCAACCTTCTATAAGATATCCACTAACAAACATGTATGATGGACAATGTTATACATGTAGGCAATGATTTTAAAATTGAAACATTTAAGTACGTTTATTTTAATAGAATTTCAAGCTGCTGTTTTTATATAATACAGAATTTTAAGACATTTTCAAACATCATTATTTCGATCGTAGCAGAAAATCTGATTAATATAAAACGTTTCATGGAATTTTGCTCAATCCGCAAACGGAAGGTTAAACAGCAATTTGCGACGTTTTGAAAAGATAAGATGTTTATCGAAATTAAGCAATTTATTAATTGACTTTCATCAAATTGTCTACGTATTAATATCTCAACCGTCCGTCCACGCTATATAAAGTCAGGGCCCTTAAAGTCGTAAATATATGAAGCCTTTGACAGCATCATCAATTATTAGCTCATCTCTCTGGTAACCAAGGGAACCCATCAACAAATCGCATTCATATCCCAGTGTCATATCTTTTTCAATATTGACGACGCAATTACGCATGGGACAGATCGCATATTGTGTTTTAAAGTCATCGTTGATTATACGAAATAAGTGGCTCTTTGAGACCATTAGGTCTGAAGTCACGCGATATTCCGGAATCAGCGCAGCGTATTTTGATTATGGGTAATCTGATAATAGCTGCACGAATGCACGAGATTCGTTCGTATATGTGTTCAATGGAAACAAGTAAAGACATTTAAGCAAAACATATATACACTAGCTCAATATATATAAACTTATCATATTGATTCAAATGGGGGGGGGGGGGGGGGATGACAAAGCAAAAACGCCAAAAGGTGCTGTCAAACATTACTAAATAAAATGTTTTTAAATGCCGCATCCAATGATTATCAAGCATACCTATCCCCTAGCTGGGTTTTGGTTAGTATTTGCATTTTATTTTTACACCGATCTGGACATCTTTATTTATTTATTTATTTATTTATTTATTCATTCATTCATTTCTATTAATTAATTAATTGATTAATTAATTAATTCATTAATTAATTCATTCATTCATTCATTTTTGCCATATCTCGGCAACGGACCCATCCTACTGGCTTTCCATGATGTTTAACCAGAAATTTTATTTTTTTTGCGAGTAAAGTGAATAACTACTTCCGAGGATCGAACCAGGAACTCCTAGATTACTAATCATATTTATTTCCCAATTGAGCTTTACGGTCTTACAGCTATGAAAAGACAAACCCTATTTAGATATGATCAAAACAATTGAATATTAAGTGAGTTTGCACATTTTCACATGTGATGATATTGACGATCTCTCGAACACAGTTATAGAAAGAGTGACTTTACATATTTCGTTCTAATACGAAAATCAAAGGGCATGCTCCTATATCTGTTGCTTGAATGCCAAGAAATGAATTTTTGTTTTATGAACTGTGACAAAAACCCAATAAGCTTATCGTCTTAAAATATTTTACAGTAATTAACGCAAAAATAATTGTCATATTAATAATTAACATCCTGGGTTTATTAATGGAAAAGTAGATAACATTTTGTCATACAACACTAATTTTCTCTATCTCTTTTTTTTTACAGACGTAATGTCACAATGAGTACAGATTGACAAGAAAAACGTCCGACTCATTGGAACGTACCACAGCAGAAAGTTATGAACAATCCGATTCAGTAAATATTTCTATTTTGAGACTCTAGAGATAGATATACGGAATAAAAAACGTTGATAGAAAAGATGTCAGTACGAAATCAGTACGCAAATAATCATTATAAAATAGCGCCACTGCCACTTTCGTCCAATCATATAACAAATGCAAGAAACGCAGCACGGCAGAGAAACTTGTACCGCCCACCTGACGATGAACGTGCAAGCGCAACAGAGAACGCAGCCGTTGCTAGTGGGGTAGAGAAAATATCAAATTTTTCAAATATCAAATTCGAAAAAGACACGGACAATTTATTCGCAGCTAAAAAAAACGACAAAATGAAAAGAAAAAATGAATTTACGATGTATGGTAAACGAGAGTTGAACAAGTTTGTTACAAATGGTTCGCGCAATAGAGGAAAGGACTCTTACTTTGCCGAAGGAAAGCAAAGCAATATGAAAAATAAATTCGCGCAAGGGAATGTTCCTTTACAGAAAACACAAAAATCGAGAAATACACCTACACCGTCTCGACCAATGTCTGCCAGACCAGATTCAAGATGGGAGCGACGCGTTAGAGATGAAAGTGAGAGTTTCACGGATGAAGAATCCGATGACACTAGTGCCATTGTTAAAACTGTATCAGACAAGCAAAAATTAAAGATACAAAGATCTGATTCTGATAGCATGCCTGAATTACAAGCAAGACCAAAAACGGGTCACGGACGTCACAAATCAATTGATAGTAATCCGGAATTAGAACGTAAAGTCGAACATCGAAAAGAAGAACTTGGGAGGCCTAAGTCTCGTATTGGTAAGGTGAGGGAGTTTAGAAGAAGCTCAAATGAATCTGTTGATTCGTTGACGGCATTAAACAAAGACTCAAGAAGTGGTCAGTCAAGCGCAAAATCTGCTGAAAATGATTCTGTTTTTCGCGAAGTTGATTATAATATTGGAATAAACACATTTTATCCTGATCTGGCGGATAAAATCGACGGCATTGATGATATAAACTTGCATATTGAAGACATTGACCGCGATGTTGACCCTGTTTTATTCTTCATGCAAGACGTAAACACTAGCCCTGTCACAAGTGCTAAAACAAGATCTTCCTTATCGAAAGACGCAATTAATATTATTACAAATGAGAAAAATTCTCGTCAGATGATTAAACCCTCAATCGGTTTCCAAGGCAACAATCAAAATAAACGCCATTCAGTACCTGAAACGATTGATCGTTGCCACGGCAACAGAGTTTTAAGTCTGCAAAATTCAATAGCAGAAGGCAATCAGCGTTACTTTAATAATGGTAGACAAGATCGAATTAAAAGCGATTCTGGAGAAAATGTGTACAAATCATGGACAAATACTGTCCATATTGATAAAGCACAATCTACTAATGGCGCCATGAAGCGAGATAGTGAAGTGGGTAAACATACGGGCAATTACGACGCTGGTGTCACACACTCATACAGCTTGGCAAATAGGAAACCTAGGAAGCTCAAACCGATAACTCCATCAAATGTGGAGGAATAATTTTGTGCCATAAGGTGTTGAAAAAAATGCGTTTATAACGATTAACATATAATATATTCGATTAACAAGAACGTATTTGGCTAATTTTGCACATTTGCCATTGTTTCGATCAATCTTTATATCGGCAGAGTATATTAGTTCTATCAAAAACTGCGTATAATCAATAAGGATGAAATCTCTTTGGATATTTTGTTATCTTTTTTAATTTCTCTTTCTTATTTTTTGTAAGATAGATGTGTTTCTCGACAAGCATAATCATTTTTATGTGCCATTTTTCTATTTTTTACTTAAACCGTATTTCTTTAGAATAATAATACGTGTATTTTTTTTTTTTTTTACAAAATGGTAAATAAATTGTTATTTGACATATCCGGCACACGTACTTTATCGATTCTTTTCTACCGCCTAGGACGTAGGGGTATCAATTTGCCATGAACGATGTGAGTTGCAACTGTCCGTCCTTCCATCTGTCTGTGCTTTCGATTTAAAGGAATAAACATTATCGGATAAGGTGTGTATACAGCTTATATATAACATTATGAGGCTCATTCCGTACAAACTGTTATTACGAGTTTGAAATGTGACTTGTAGGGTTGAAAAGATGCAGTTTGGGATTGGAAAAGACCAAACGATCAAAGGAACAACCCAAAAATGTCCATAACCTGAGGATGTGCATCCGTACGTCCGTCTTTGACACATTGATGTGTACATAACATAAACGTTATAATGATACAACTTATAAGTAAGTAAGTATGTAAGAAAATTCTTTATTATAGTGACATGTGTTACACGTATATACATACACAAAACTGCACAAACACCCGCCCATAGGACTTATAAGTCACCTTAACAAAATATTATAATCTGAGCATGTGTTATAGTTTTCAACATGTTATTAACATAAAAGTAAATTCATATTACTACATGTTACAGTTCAATTTTACGATATGACACTAAATTATGAATAGTTAATCGTGGTCTATTATAAATAAGTCTCTCCTTAACAAATATGCTTGTATATGAGGTAACATCTCGTTGTGTACAAGTAGCGCACAGGAACTGTACATCACTTCCTAGTTTCTGAGTTGTTCCCCTTTGCTGTTTTAATACTGTCGAATTTTTGTTTGAAGTCGTGAATTATTTTAAACCAAAACCATACAATAACATACAATTCATTATGGAGAGATTCAATACATTGAAATTAAATAAAGTATTGCCCTGTTATTATAAAAATTAACCTATTTTATCCATACTTTACGAGTCGTGAAATGCATTATAATAAATCTCAACGTTAATTTGTTTTGTAATAAAGGAATAATATTCTTCAAATAATATTAAAATCTTATTGTGTTTATTTAAATTATATTGCCATTTGTAAAGTGTTTCACATACCGGCATTATCCACAAATGTGATGTTAAATAATGGCGTTTTATTACTTATTCATAGACAGTTTGTAAACATTTTTATCCATAATCGTATCTCTGTAACGACGAATAACAATCGGAAAGTCCTCTGCTATTATTCTTAATACCATCAAACTGAATACGGAATAAAAGTATTTCTACCACGTGGTTTTACATGTAAACAATAACAAAGCGTGTAATTTTTTATTATTGCCGTCCCCGTTCCTGGACGGCGGTATATACAATTAACAAGATTTGAACAGTTCTACATTTGCACCGCCTGCTTTTTGCCAATCAAAGCGAATAATATCTCATGATAACAAAACCTAACAAGTTCGTTGAATTTATATCCCCCGCCGAGTACTGGTTATTACTAACACAACAACTGAAGACATAAGGCTTTATTTATATATATTTATCATGGTGTAAACAGTAATATTCTTCGTACATGAAACATAATCAGGGCAATAATATAGCCTTACCTCTGTGTGAAATAGTTATATCTGGACATGCCAATGAAATGTAAATTGCCTTTTTGTATCGATGGTTCCCATACAGTTTTGTTGAAATCAATACAGCAGTTGCAAAGAAAAAAGCAGTATTGCTTTATATGCATACTACATAACTTATCAAGGGCCATACCTCTGTAATGAAGGATCTGGTCTGAACAAGGCAACAAATTATGCACATCTCCTCATGGTATTAATGTTTCCCATAAGTTTCGTTGAATTCCATCCAGTAGCTGCAGAGAAGTAGCGGGGAAACAATTATTGCTCTATATGAGTACTGCATAAATAATCAACTGCCATAACTCTGAGTTAAAAGGTCTGACTGGAACAAGCCGACGATATGTGCATCTCCTCTTGTTATTGATGATTTCCATAAAGTTTTGTTGAATTCCAGCCAGTACTTGCAGAGAAGTAGCGCGGAAACGATTTGCTCTATTAGCATAATGTATGACTAATCAAGGGCCATAACTCTGTAATGAAGGGTCTGGTCGAAACAAGGCAACAAATAATGCTCATCTCCTCGTAGTATTAATGTTTTCCATAATGATTAATTGAATTCTAGCCAGTGTCTGACCGTAACAAGGAGACGATATGCGCATCTCCTCTTGGTATTGATGGTTCCCATAAAGTTTCGTTGAATTCCAGCCAGTAGTTGCAGAGAAGTAGCGCGGAAACGATTATTGTGTTATATGTATACTGCATAACTAATCAAGGGCCATAACTCTGATTTAAAGTGTCTGACCGGAACAAGTCAGTCGACGATATGCACATCTCCTTTTGGTATTGATGGTTCCCATAAAGTTTCATTGAATTCCAATCAGTAGTTGCAGAGAAGTAGCACGGAAACGAAATTTTGGACGAACCGATGGATGGACGAACGGACGGAAGGACGGACGGACAACACCAAAACAATATCCCCCTTCCGATTCCATTTGCGGGAGGTGTAAAAAAATGTAACAAGGGGTGCATTAATGGGCTCGCCCATCCGTCATTGTTGTCGGGTTAACTATTCTTCCAATGAAAAATACCATTATCAATGTACGAACTTAGAACCAGTCTTTAGGCTTTTGCAGAATAAACGCAGCAAATTGCAAAATTTATTTTTCTTCATGTCATTTTTGATTCGAGAATGCAGTCTTAGGCTATATTTTGTTTTCTTTCCAAAGAAAAAATGATTTCCTCCGGCCGAGTTAAACAGTCAACGGAATTAAGGCTAACAGAAAATTTAATTCCATTTATAGAATGCATGAATCAAAACATTAACAGACATCAATTTTAATGTGTAGCAAGTAACTGTTGTTAATTACGCAAGTAGATTTAGTTAATTATTTTTTTCAGATAGATGCACGCACATAGTCCAACTAATTGTACTACATGTACGCGTTAAGTTGTTATGATATTTTCTTATCGGCAATTTCTCTTAGATTCTGACCTGGAACAAAAATTTCTCCGAATCTAGCTTACCACATCAATATATTTTTACTATATAATAACGGAATGGTGGAGTAAATCAAGTTTTTTTCCCGGCTTTATGTGTTGACCACATACAAAGTGAAATAATTTCTATATTCATTGCTGAACGGCGATTCCCAGCATATTTTGAAATGCTAATACTTGTAATGTATAACGACTGTATATGTGACATAGATAGGAAAACAGAGTATATTTCGATGAAATTATCATTAAAAATATGTCTGACATTCATAACCAATTAAAAAATACCTACTGGTGTAGAATAACAAGAGCCAGTTTGAACCGGGTGATGCTCCCCAAGACACATGAAAGTACACCTCTTGTAGTTTCAGAGTTATGTCTCGGACAAAGTTCAAAGTGCAATAATTCCAAAATTAGGCAAAGCAGGGTTACTGTTGTTGATACTGCACTTTATTAGTTTAATAATAAGATCTGTCTACCACCTTAGTTTCTTGTTGATACCTCCTGAAGTAGCACAGTAATGTCCCGGGCAAATGTCACAGAGTAAAATTGAAAAAGGACAATAACTCCAAAAATAGGGCAGAGTAACGCTTCTTTTTGCATTATATATTTACGCAATGAGATATAGCTACAGCTTTATGTTAATATATCTTATAGTTTCAGAGTTATGTTCCGGAAAAAAGTTCAAAGTGCAATAATTATTTATTCCCCGTTTGTTCAATATTGTTGCGGATTCGATTTTGTACAAATTTGGAGTGTCTACTCTACAGAAATATAAGTCTTGAACCTGTAGCCAAATACAAACATCCGTGAGATCTCCGCATGGCATGGTCGTTTTTTTTGACACGGCGAATTATTGTCTCTGTATATAAAGCGTGTAAATTTTCGTTAAAAAAACACCAATATTCTTTTTTTAAATTTATTTTTTATCATAAGATTATTTACACAATACAAAACATTTATGAATACACATACAATATATGAGATATACGTATAAGGAGGAATAAGAGATTTCTTTTTAGAATCTACAAAGTTTATAAATATAATAAAGATAATAATTCAATAGTATCTTACCAAAGTTGACAACATTTTAATACCAGACTTATTTTAATATAACATAGAAAAAGATTCATTTTCAGAAATTATTACTTTTACAATATTATAGAACTTATTTAACATAAAAGAAGAAATTCCAATTTTACATTGAACTTATATTACAAAAAATGTCATTAATTCAAGGGAAACAACTCATACTATTCTAAAATTGTTATCCAATTACAAGTTGTTCCTCTTGTCATGAATACTTTATAGCAAGATTAATAAAATCAAAGGTCATTCAAGGTATTTATAAAAGAAAGATACATAAAAAGGGCAGTGGGTGCAATACAGAGTGAAACAATCTTAAATTATTGTTCTTAAAACATTAGTCTCAATGATGCAGCAAAGAAATATATTTGCCCCATAAATTGTCAAACTTTGAAACCATATTTATTTTTTGTCACTATATAATTGTGTTCTCAAAAGAATAGCTACATAATTTTAAAAAAGTTGAACGCTTGGAACTGTGTTCTTTAATTTGCATTGATAAAGAATATGCTTTCCCAACAGAATTGAATTCGATGTTTCATTATCTAAGTGTTCATTGCCTGGAATAATATGTGTTAAGGTCCACTCTGTGTTAACATCTGTACATATTGAATTTATCCATGATTTTATACCTTCCCAAAAAGAAGAACTAAATTGGCAATCCCGAAATAAATGTTTAATAGTTTCAATATGGTTGTTGCAAAAAGAACATGTATTTACATCATTTATTTTCATTTTATGTAAAATATTGCCAGTATCCTGTGCTTAACTTTATACTGAAACCATTGTTAATTTGAATCCTTTGTAATATTTAAAGGGAACCTAAAAGTGCCATTCCAATTAAAATCATCAATTAAATTGAGTTTATCTTCCCGTTTTCTCTTAGCAATAGAGGATATATTTGCTCTAATATAGATTTGTCTACATCTCTTCTTTTGACTATTGATTATCTTGA